CGGGCTCAGGCAATCCACTCACCTCAGCCTCCCAAAGGCGTGGGATTACAGGCTGAGCCACTGAGCCCGGCAGGATTTGTTTCTTAATGCTGAAAAGTTAACAGTATGAAGATTAAATTTTGGGGGGAAATTCTCAATCTAAACATCTAAGACATTTTTGTGAACTTCTTTTTACAGTATAGTCTTGAGAAGGATTTGATTTTGATTGAAATGCTTTGCTGTCATAATTGTGAATTTTCTAATAAAATAACATTGCTATTAGGTAGACTTGTTACCAAAAGCCCTTTACATTTTAATTAACTTGAAAAATGGCAAATTTTACAAGAATTTATTCCATTATCTTCTAAAAACATTGAAGGCTGAGGTTTTTTCTTTTATTATATTTAAATGAAGGCTGATCACACTGTTTATATTCTAGAGTTATTTGAATGTACAAATTAAGTCTACTCATTTCAAAGTAATAATTTCATAACAAAATGGTGTAAGAAATTTCTAAATATTTAGATTTAAAAATAAAAAACTGATCAAACACAGCAATTCATGTCTGCATTTCAGTACTTTGGGAAGCCAAGGCAAGAGGATTGAGGCCCGGAGTTCAGGACCAACCTGGGCGATATAACATGACACCATCCTGTTTACTTTACAAAAAATTTTTAAAAAATCAACTAGGCTTGGTGGTATGTGTCTGTAATCCTAGTTAATTGGAAGCCTGAGACAGGAGGATCCCTTGAGTCCAGGAGGGCTTACTGGAATGAGCCCAAATCATGTCACTGTTCTCCAGCCTGGGCAATAGAGTAAACGCCACTGCACTCCAGTTTTGGCAACAGAGTGAGACTGCAACTCAAAAAAAAAAAGTATCCAAACCACTGTAGCTTTTGTGTTTTTATTAATAGGGTTCTGAAGATGGCTTGAAAGAGAAAAATGAAATAATTGCCCGATTAGAAGAAAAAAACAATAAAATTACTGCAGCCATGAGACAGCTGGAACAAAGGTACGCATTTCCAATCTTAGTTTCTGTTTTCTTTTTTTCTCCCCTTTTTCTTTATTTAACACTGACACCTGCCACAAAAACCGTTAGGAAGGTTTAGATGAGGACATGTTTTTTGTTTAAGCCCAGCAGGATTTTGCCTTTTTGTTTTGGTTGTTGCATGGAATCAAGTTGCTTTATATTAGGCTGATTCATTTGAAGTTGCCATTTTGTAGATTTTTTTTGAAGGCCTAATATGAACAATTTCATGTGTTGGCAATCTATTACATAAATACACAAAAACCTCAAAAAAATTAAAAATGAATAAAACCTATGGCAGAATTATCCCTGATTGATTTCCATGCATATAATTTGTCATATTCTTTGCCATTCACCATTTCTTTATCTGAAATCAGGCATTCTGAATTGGTGGTTTAGTTTTGTTTCTTTGAACTAGTACCCTCAACCCAACCAGAGATATAATTTTGTTTAAACTGAACTGTTTTATATTGGCATTTTTCACTTTTATTGTTGGAAAATGTAATGTATTTCCATTGCCCTGTCATGTTGGTGTCAACATATGTCTTATCATTGCTTTCTTTGAATCTACTTATGAAAAACATAACTATTAATGCTTTATTGACATGAATATTCTTTTATTGACATCCTCTTTCTTCTTTTTTCTTTTTTGTTTTCTTTATCCCCATTTTTACATTTTGGACATCTTTTTATCTTTTTTCTGTCTTTGATTTCTGTCCATTCCATTATGAAGTGACAATGATTTGTTAACTCAAACTAGGACAATTGCAATGTCATTGGTGAAATGTGCCAGTAGTGACACTCAGGACCAGTACAAACTGGTCAAAGATATATCTTTCTGAAAACCACTTATATTTAAACAGACTATAAGATAATCAACAATTTTATAATATATTAAATAAAAAGAATTTATGCTATAAGTATACTACAAGGGTATTAGGAACCCTGTAATTTCTTGGTCAGCTGCTGTGATAATACACTGCCATAAAGCAGAGTGGGTGCACTTGGATTTCCAAAAATACATTCCTCAGACCTCAGGAACAAGGGCTGATTAGAGTATTGACCCTTTGGAGGTCAGGATTTTCAAATGCAGTTTTATCTTTTTAGCTACTTTTTCATGGAAAATGTATAAATTGTTTAAAAGTAAGTTAACCTTTGGTTTCACAATGCGTTGGCACAGATATTTTTCTCTTCTTTGGCCCACTCTTTCCTGATGGCTCCCTTACTGATTTTTAATATGCTTTAAAGTGGCTCATAACCCAGGTTGAACATCATCCTGTGCTTCAGCATCCAACTTTCCAGTTCTCCCTGGCCCCCTTCTATGATAGCACAACTTCAAGGCCTACCTCATTCTGACTTTTATTTTACTTTCCCTAACCTTAGAGAAAAGCTTGGGTCCACCCCCATCACCTACTGTTTAAATTTAAATTTAGATTTAGAGGTAACTTAAATGTTACTCTCCTCTCCTTAGAAGCAGCATTTATTCTCCTGAAATGTGTGAGGGTTGCTCCATTGGTAGGATTGGAAGGAAGAGGCAGTTTTTTTGGTTAGTTGAACAGAAATTGTTGTGATTTCCTGCAAGGGGTTAATGTCCCTTGATTCTTGGGAAATCTTTTTTTTTTTTTAATTTGGAGTCTTACCCTTTTGCCCAGGCTGGAGTGCAGTGGCATTCTCACGGCCACCTTAGCCTTGACCTGTTGGGCTCAGGTGATCATTCCACCTCAGCCTTCCAAGTAACTGAAACTACAGGCATGAGCCACCATGCCCAGCTAATTTTTTTTATTTATTGAAGAAACGAGGTCTCGCCAAGTGGCCAAGCTGGTCTTGAACCCCTGGTCTTAGGCAGTCCTCTCGCCTCAACCTCCCAAAGTACTGGGATTACAGGCTTGAACCACTGTGTCCGGCAGGAAATATTGTCTTATAAACATACTGAAGTTAAGTCTACACAATCCTAAATGGCCAAAGGAGGCAGGGAGTAGAGCTAAACATAGAAAAAAGCAATGACTTACAAATAAAAACAGGAAAAATGAAAATCAAAATGTTTTAGCTAGCTTTTAATATTCAGTGGTGAGGAACAAAAATGATCTCTAGAGAATGATGCCAACTAGCCAACTAGTACTTTTTGAATTCTAACACACACACAGATATACAGCTTTGGCATAATTTAGTAAATGCATGAAGATCCTACAGGAAGGACTTGGCTATCATTTGGAGTAATTGCAGGTCTTTGCTCTTGGTTTTGTAGCACACTTGATTCCTGGCATACACTTTCTAGTATAAAATATGACAGTGTGGCTTCTTCACCTAGTGTAGACATAAGTACTGTGCTTTTCATAGTTTTGTAAAAAGGCAGTAACATACCTGTTATACTTTGGAATTTGATTCATTATGCTGTACATAAGTGGTAAAGGCTATATTGCTTTGCATTGTTAATTATGAAACAAAAAATAAAACAAATTTGAAGTTAGCATTCTGGGCATATTATATATTATATTGGAAAAAAATCACAAAACAATTTATAGACATTGTGTGGCTCTTTCACGTTTGAGTTTGTGAGTTTTCCCCCAAACTTTGTTTTCATTTAGAAATGTTTCTATTTCCCCATTTTTCTTTTATTTGTCTTCTTCACCCTTTTACACCCTAGTTCTAGCTTCAGTTTTACCCAAAGTTGATTTGAATTACACCAGATTGCAGCAAGCAGAGAAGGCGCAAATGGAAGCTGAAGATGAGGACGAAAAATATCTACAAGAATGTCTGAGTAAATCTGACAGTCTGCAGAAACAAATCTCCCAAAAGGAGAAACAGCTGTGAGTATATTGTGCTTGGAAACAAACATTAGTATTAACGTAATCCCCCCACCCCATTTTTTGCACATACTGGTAGAATACCAATATTTTTGTTTATCTAACAATGTCAGCTAGATTATAATATTCACTTAAAAAAAAAATTAGAGGGCCAGATGTGGCAGCTCAAGCCTGTAATCCTAGCACTTTGGAAGGCTGAGGCAGGAGAATTACTTGAGCCCAGGAGTTCAAGATCAGCCTGGGCTACATAGCAAGACCTCATCTCTACAAAAAAATAAAATAAATTAGCTGGGCATGGTGGCATGTGCCTGTAGTCCCAGCTACTCAGGAGGCTGAGATGGAAGAATTGCCTGAGCCTAGGTCGAGGCTGCAGTGAGCCATGAGCATGCCATTGTACTCCAGGCTGAGTGAGACCCTGACTCAAGAAAAAAAAATTAGAAAATATAATTGTGATGACATTTATGTTATTACAGCCTTTATATTTACAGAGCACTTTTAGCTCTCTGTCTTGCTATGTTCTTGCTCTAGGAGAGTTTTATTTTTTATTCTGTTGTTTAACACTAATCTAATGATCATTGTGTTTTTAGATACTGAGTTAAAGAGGCTTTGTAACTGCAAGGAACTTATGTTATCAAAGAACGTTATGTTCTCTGAGAACATTTTTATTAATACTTTATATGATAGAGCCATATATCACACTAGGAATGATAGTAGTATATGTCATTGTGTTGAAAAAAGAAAGTTGCGGAATGGTATGCCAAATATCCTTTTTTATAAAATTAAAGTAAACCACGCACTTGTGTGTATCTATATTTACATATACATAGAAAAGATTTTAAAGAATATAGATTCTGGGGAGTGGTTATTTCAGGGTATTGACGGCAGGGTGGTGGGGTATTTTAGTTTTTACATTATAAACATTAGTATTTTTACCAGTCTGAGCAACATAGGGAGGCACTGCCTCTACAAAAATAAATAGATAAATAAATATTAGCCTGGTATAGTGGTCTGTTCCTGTAGTCCTTGATACTCTGGAGGCGGAGGCAGAAGGATCACTTGAGCCTAGGAGCTTGAAGCTGCAGTGAGCTATGATCATGCCACTGCACTCTAGCCTAGGTGACTGAGTGAGAGACTTATCTCAAAAAAAAAAAAAAAAAGTTTTTTTCTCTCAGTTAATATGTATCACTTTTTTTTTTTTT